CCCAGCTGCAATATCTCACGCTCGTCCCTGTTGAGCTTCTGAAGGTTCTCGTTAGCCTGCTCCTCCAGATCTCCCTGCGGGGGGGCTCTCCCTCCCGGAGCATCCGCGTCCCCGCTCAGTTTGGTGTCATCTGCAAACTCCATCAGGCTGCGCTTGATCCCGTTACCCAGATCACTGACGGAGACAGCGAATAACCTTGGGCCTGAGATCGATCCCCGGGGGACCCCGCTTGTGACAGGTCACCAGTTAGACAGAGCTGCTTACCACCAGCCTCTGGGTGCGGCTGCCAGCCCATTCCCCACCCACGGCACTGCCCACTCGGCCAGGCCATAACGCAGCCATTTCTCCAGGAGGAGGAGGGTTGTGACAGCCCTGGGGTCTCACCCTTGCCATAAACCAGTTCAGCTTGGCTTGAGTCTCATTCTTCAGCGTGAAAATATTCCCAGCCTGGGACCAGCAGAGTCCGGGTCTGTCGCCCGCTCGGTCCTTCTCCCTCTGCTGAGGCAGCAGCAGGCACTGGTGTGGTCCCCACTCGTGATGGGGAGGACGCAGGCCGTCCTCGCTGCTCCTGTTGGGAGTGTGGCCGCAGGGCTGTCATTGTCCAGCCGTCCAGAACCCTTTGTGTCTGTCTGACCTCCTTCCTCGTCTGCCAGGGGCCCTGCTCTCAGGCAGCAGCGTCAGAACTCGGGGAGGAGCCCGGCGTTTAATAGTTCTGTCTTGTCACCCACAACTTCTGTCACATCAAAGGCAGCAACCGTGGGGTTGTCTGCCACGATGTCGGTTACGCAGCTGAAGCTGTAACTGCAGTAAGGGAGGGGAGTCCTGGTGTTACAGGTGACAGGAAACACCATCGTTTGGTTGGAACGGAGGTGACCCAGAGCTCCAGGGTCCCTCTTCTCGCCGCGCAGGCAGGCTGGCTGGCCTAAGGTGCCTTGTCCCAGCTCGCCGAGCGCGATGGAAGGTGCAGCGGAAGGTCCCTGCCCAGCGCTGACCTGACGGGGCGGCTCTTTCTCTGCCTCTCTCACGCAGGCTGCCAGCGTGCCTGTGGTCTTCGATGAGCATCACCTGAGCGAGGTGCAGAACATGGCGTCAGAAGAAAAGCTGGATCAGGTGGTTGACTCTATGAAGGAAAGTAAAGTGGCCCTTATAGGTAAGGACTGCGCGAGCCGTCTGTCTGGCGCGGAGGGGCTCCCTGCTCTGCCTGCAGGAGGTGTTGCCTTATCTCAGGCGCCATGAGCGCCCTCAGAGGGCAGGAATTCCTGTGCTGAGGGCCTGGAGAAGGAAGCACGCTGTCCTTAGCTAAGCAGCAAATCACTGCACTACTTACTTACTGAGCTTTCCCAAACGGGAGGCCGTAGCCAGCCTCTCCTTTTGAAGCGAGGTCCCTCCCCTCGTGTGGCCCAGAGAAGCAGAGGGCCCTGGCAGGGTCCCGTGCAGCGAGGGATCCGTCGCCATGCTCGGCTGAGGTTCCCTTGAAGCAAGCACCCCCTGGCCCAAGCCTTGCTGCCCTGTCTCCTGGGTTCAGGCGATCTCCTTAGCGGCTGTCGGCGCGCTCCGCGCTTTGCGTCCTTACTCCCGCTCCGTGTCGTCCCGCAGGCAAGATCCACACCCCCATGGAGTACAAGGGAGAGCTGGCTTCGTACGACATGAGGCTCAGGTGAGCTCAGCCCCTGGCTGCCCACACCTCAGTCACCGGGAAAACCGTGTTGTGCTTGGCCATGGTGTTCTGCCACGGAACCGGGGGCCGAAGGAAGCGAGTCTAGGCCAGGTGGGAAAAGATCCTGAGGGACAGACTGTGGCCAGGAGCTGCCTCTGTCGAGGGTGATCCTGCCGCTCCTTCCTTCCTCGGGGGTCCTGGGGAGGACGGGGGGGTGGCTGGGAAGCGGCAGTGGTGGCCTGCCCGGACAGAGGATCGTGACAAGGGCTGGCTGGCTCGCGATCCTGAGGGGAAAGGTGGATGGGTGGATAGACAGAGGGATAGACAGACAGACAGCAATGGGAAGACATCGGAGGAGGTGGGGGGCTGTTTGCACCACCACCAGCTGTTATCCCCAGTGCTCGTAGGGAACAGTTGCTGCCCTGGAACAGCTTACGGGGAAGCGGTGACGCTGCTGCTTCTCTCGCAGGCGCAAATTAGACTTGTTTGCAAACGTTGTCCACGTGAAGAGCTTACCCGGCTATAAAACACGGCACAACAACCTGGACCTGGTGATCATCCGCGAGCAGACGGAGGGGGAGTACAGCTCCCTGGAGCACGAGGTACGGGAGCTTCCCGCCAGGCGACAGCGATGGAATTGGGGAGCGTGTAGTGATGTGAATACAGGCAGGCCCAAGGGGGGGCAGCGATGGACTGCATGGGGGGGTAATGCCAGAAAAAAGGGACGTGGGTTTTAAGGAACCTCTGGATGCGGGGGCTGCTCACGCTCCCTTTCCTGTCCAGAGCGCGAAGGGAGTCATCGAGTGCCTGAAGATCATCACGCGGGCCAAGTCGCAGCGCATTGCCAAGTTCGCCTTTGACTACGCCACCAAAAAAGGGCGCTCTAAGGTCACGGCAGTGCACAAAGCCAACATTATGTGAGTGCCACGGGAGCGGGTTTGGAGCGTGTCTGATTGCCAGACACGTGGCTGCTCTCACGTCCAGGACCTTGTTGCTCTCGGCTTTCGATCCCGATCGGAGCAGTGCCGGTCTGGTTCCAGAGGGACGGGGCTTTCCCTGGGAGTAGTGGCTTTTCCGCTCTGTATGGTCCCGTCTCCAGCGTGGGGCATCCCGGAGCTGTCAGCCGAGAAGGGGAAAAGCTCTGGCACTGAAAGCTGCTCCCTCGCCGCTCCCCCAGGCCCCCATTTCACCACCCGTGGGTGTGGGCGTGCGGTGGTGTGGGGTGCTCTAGGGTTACCTGCCGCCCTCGTGATTTCACTGCCGTCCTGCAAACCCGTTGACGTGTTTCTCATCTCGCAGGAAATTAGGCGATGGGCTCTTCCTGCAGTGCTGCGAAGAAGTGGCAGAGCTGTACCCCAAGATCAAATTCGACACCATGATCATTGACAACTGCTGCATGCAGGTGAGGCTCCCGTTCCCCTGCCCCAGAGCCCCCCGGCACCGCCTGCTGCTCCTGAGCCAAGCCTG